TAAATTTGTTGGCTGAAGCCCAAGGAAGGAGTTTATTAAAATTATATTTGTAGGGATGGGAGGGTCCTGATGATGTCCAGGGTGGAGCTTTTCCAAGGCCCACCCCCAAGAGGGAGGAGTTTAATTTCAAGCCCCACCCTTTTTGAGACCAGACCCAAGGCTTTAAAATCCTTTCTTTTTCCATATGCAACAAGTGGACGGGGAACTGCAACCCCTCTCCTTCCATTCTATGGTTTGCAAAGCAGAATCTTGGTGGAAAACCCCCCCTTCATTTCTGCCTTTCCTCCCCTGCAGGCTTCAAGAGGAGTATTCGCAAACTCGAGTCACCAACCAGCTTCTGGAGGAAAAGCTTCAAATCATCGTACGGGAAGCTTCTTTATTTTCCCCATCTTCCCGACAGTATGCCTGTTCCACTAGATAAGATGCATAGCAAACGTAGAAAGTTCGCTTCCTTGAAAGCAAGTTGCACAACACAAACTCCCCAGATTGGCTTTATGCGATTGGAAGGAGGCATTGGGTCCGTTTCAGCTGGAAGGCAGCATTTCGTTTTGGAGCTGGGACTTGACAGGAGGAGGGTGGAGAGGAGCGGCTCGAAGCCCAGCAAAGTGGCAGAAGACCCCGGAAGTCTCTGAGCAGATGCTCTCTCCCCAGGGATGCTTCGCAGTTGTCTTTCCGGAGCAGGGATGAGCAAAACCGTCCAGCTGTGGGGCGAAGGAAGCCCTCTTGCCCTCCCTCCTGCTCTCTCTGACCCACTCCCCTGCCCTCCTCTGACCCCCGACAGGCGCAGAGCATGGCGGAGGAGAGGCAGGCCCTGAATCAGCGCGTCAGTGAGCTGCTGGAGAGACTGATCAGTGCCCAGAGCATGATCTGCACCCTGGAGAAGCTGAACGTGAGCAGTCGGCTTGAGGGGCGTGCGAGGGGCAGCGGGCCTGCAGGCGGACAGGGCCCCAGTGCCTTGACTAGCGCGCGGAAGACAGAATGCATGCATTTGTACTTGTTTCTCGTATTACTATCCCAGTGTTTCCCTTCCGAGGAACTCACTCAGGGCGGCTTGCCTCATTCCCCCCCTGCTCACTCTTATCCCCACAACAACAGCCCTGCGAGGTAGGCGGGGCTGAGAGCCTGTGACGGGCCCAAAGCCACCCAGTCGGCCCCGTGGCCAAGGGGACTGGCGCCCAGTTCTCCCAGTTCCCATCCTGTGCTCTTAAGCACTACATCGCACTGCCCCTCAGAGTCATTTGCTATTAGCAAACAAATGGTCAGTTCAGAACCTAAACAGCAGATCTGTTAATAGAAGGCAACATGCATAAAAATATTGAACAAGAGGGAAATAACTGTACATTTGTAGATTTGCAGATGTTTAAAGTCTAATTTTGTTTGATGTATATTGTTTATTCAACTCCTTTTCCCCTCAAAGGAATGCAAGGGGCGTACATGACCCTCCTCCTCTCCATTTTATCCTCAAAACAACAACCCTGTGAGGTAGGCTAGGCTGAGAGGCCGGGACTGGCCCAGTGTCACCCGCGGAGCGTCAGGACTGCGTGGGCCTTGAACCCAAGTCTCCCGAGTCAACAAGACTGACCCTGTTTTGACCTTGTGCAGGTTTCTGGGCTGCTGTCCCGATCCGGCCTCAGCCAGCAGCACGGCAAGAAGGCCGAGTCCCTGGACAGCCTCTGCTCACTGCACCTCCTGGACGTCGCGCCCCCGCCTGCCTTCATGGACGGCGCCTCGGATGCCCCGAGCTCTCGCAGCCGCGACTCGGCCGCTCAGGCGGGCTGCAGCTCCGAGCCCGAGCCCGCCGGAGCGAACGGCGAGCAGGCCCCACGGCTGGAGTACGATGCCCCCACGCCACCCCCCGAGGGGCCCCAGCGGTGCAGCAAGAGCCGTGGCCGGGCAGTGGCTTTCACCCCCTGGAAGCAGAGGTCCACAGCCTTCTCCACCGAGCAAGCGAATTCGACGGAGAGCGAGTGCAGCGGGGAAGAAGCCGCTCCGATCTGCCCGCTCCCGGCCTCACGCTTCCTGTACCTGAGACAAGAGGCCATGGTGGCCCCGTCAGGACCCCACAGCTTCCCCCCCTTGCCTGCCCCGGAGCCGGCGGCCTTCGAAATGGCGCGTCCCCCTTCGCCTCCCAGCGTGCCGCTGAGCAGGCAGCTGGAGCTGCTGCCGGAGCTGAGCAGTTCGGAGAGCTCGGACGACGGCGAGGTGTCCTGGAGCCCCGGCTTGGTGGAGAAGACCTCGGCGTCCCACCTGGACCTCCAGTCGGCTCAGGCGATGCTCGACAGCCTGCTGCACAGGAGTCCGGAGCAGGAGAGGGGCCGGGAGAAGGGGTCGCGCAAGGCGGACCGGCGGGGGGCATCCCCTCGCCGGCCGGGCCGCAGCCTCGCTCTGGAGCACAGACTCCGCTGCGGCCAGGACCTCCCGGGCCCCGGGGAAGGGTCCCCCACACGGAGCAGCTCGCCGGGCTCTCCGCACGTGGCGGGGCCCCTCTCAAGGGCTGCCAGGCGGGCGGCAGCGGGGCCGGAGGCCGCGCAGGATTCCACGTCGCTCTGAGGCGGGAGGGTGCTGCCCCTGCTCCTCCCCACCGACGTCGGGCGCGGGGGCCTCCTTCGGGCCAAGAGTGACATCGCTTCGGAGAGGGGCTTGGGGTCCGCACCCCGGAGGCAGACGACCCCCGAAGCACCCGCGTGCCCTCGTGGTGCAAAGGTGCAGTTGTAGGCACGCCCAGGCAACAAAAGTCCAGCACATTCCTCCCCGCGGGAACTCTTCTGTGGGAACTTCCATGGAATTGTGTCCCGAAGATCTCATTGTAGTGAGCGAGCCTCAAAGGAGACCTCTTAGCCTTTCGGAATGAGAAAAGCAGGGCGAAAAAGCTGGGAGCCGCCCCCCCCCCCCCGATCGAGACCGGGGGGGCAGGCGGTAGAGCTGGCTGGGTGGGTGAGGCCCGGCCGAGGGTTCCCGGCCCTCCCCTCCCCTCCCTCCATGGAGCCAGTTGTGAGTAGTCAGTGGGGCGAAGAAACAGCCCGTTGGGGGAAACCTGTCCCTCTGGTATTTTTTTTTCGGGTTGGGTTCTGAGCTCCGCCTCGGCGGTAAGTTCACCCCAACAGGAGCTTGCTCCCCCTTTTCTCAGCCAAACTCTGTTTTGTGATTGGAAACCCCCTTTAATGAAAATAAAAACCCAAAGAAACGCCCGCCCAGGTCCGCCTAGTTGGAGGCTGATGTCGTTGAAGGGAAAACGGGGCGTGTGCTTTGAAGCAGGCGTTTTCATCTGTGTGGTATTCTGTATTTGGTGTTCTTTGTAGCAAAAACGGTTCTCCTTCTGTTGTTATTTTGTTGGGAAAGTCTAGAGATCAGAACTGTTTGCTGGAAGGCTGGAGAAGAGCGGGGCTGGTCTCGGGGGACCCTCGCAGCTTTTCTACACAATCGCTCTCGCGAGGTTGCGTACCTGCACTTTAGACGTGGTCCGGATCCTCCATTTTCCCTGCCTTTTCATTGCTGTGTTTTGTTTCCACTGCATTGGGAAGTGGCAGAATGAACTCCTTAGGATAATTGTTCTGTTCTGCTATGCCACCGTGCCCGTTTCTGTAATGGGAACATGCAGAAAGTCGGGGAAGTGTTGGGGAGGGGAAATCCAGGGTGGAAGATCCATTCTTAATCCCACCAGGAATCCAGAAGCAGCCTTGAGAAAACGGTGAATTAAAAGCCTTATCCTGAAAAGCCCCAGGCAGTCCTGGCAGAGCCCACCCTTTTGTTATGGGGCTTGGCTGATTGCTGCCCCCGGAGAAACCATTCGGACAACGCAGTGACCCACCCTTAATAAGCAGCCACAGGGTGTTCTTCTGTCGACCCGGACTCAGACTGTTTCTCACCAGGCAGCTTTTTCTGGTTATTTTAGTTCAGACCAGCAGAAATGCAACCCAGGCTGGTGTAATTTAGTTTAGAGGCCTTTCTGCCAGTAGCAAAGCCTTGGGAAAAGGTGTTCAAGGTCCTCAAATGGTGGAAATGCACGCCGTTTGTGGAAGCCACAAACTTATCACTGGCTGGGGAGAACGCCGTGGGGTCAGAGGATTCTGAAGGACTTTCGGCGGGCCGGATTTGGCCCGTCAGCCCCACGTTCCACCCCCTGCCCTAAATGGCTGGCAAGCCAGGTATCAGGAGGATGCCCTTTCCCACCCGCGTGACACTTCCTGGCGGCCATCTTAGCAGCCCAGAATTCCGCTTCGGCTGCACCTGCCTTCTGAAATGGGGCAGGAGGCCTTCGAGGTGTGTGCTGGCACCACATCCGATGTTTTCCAGCACCAGGACAAGAGCTTTTCTTGTGGTGTGAGGAGTTTCTAGTGCTTGCCAGAAGTTCAAATCGTGTTTGTATCGAGAAGGTTATGAATGACTTCCAGTCCACCGAGAAGAACAGGGCACACGTGAGGCCGTGGCAAGCTTTCCGTGGACTTCAGCCTGGGAAACCTGAAGGCATTCAGTGCGTACAGGCAAAGCCACGTTTTCTGGCCAAAAGTTGCTGCCCTCTTGTGTACGAACAGAGACTGCAAGTCTTTTAGCTGTAGGCTAAAGCTGGAAAATATATTTCAGGTAATTTTTCTCCAACTTGCTGGCAGTGTTTTCATTCTCCCGCAAGCCAAAATGACCCATTCCACACCACCATAGTGGTTTGCGACCGAATTTCAGCTGCCAACTGTGAATTCTCTCCTTTTTTCTAGAAATAGCCCAACTGGTTATTATGAGGAGCGTCTGCCTCAGTGTACTAACTGTGTGGTTCAGTTTTGCATGCTGCGCTCTACAAATTAACAGCTAGGTAAACTTAAAATACGGCTAAATCCTGATGGAACAAGAATATTTTATCTTCCCACCTAAAGAAGCTCATCTAACCTTTCTTGGGAGCGACTTCCACAACCGGAGAGGTGTGTCTCAACAGCCTGTATGAAGTTGCACATGGTTTTTGGAAAAGCACAATGGAAAGCCATTTTAAAAAGTTCCATTGGAGCATAAAGATGACGGTTGACAAGAGGCCAGAAAACAGAGCAATAATTAACTCTGAGATTATGGCCATCATCCAAGAATTTATGGAGTTCTTTGACGTTTGGGGTGAGCTTGTAAATATTCTTATGCTGTGCATTTAGTCGAGCTTGCAGCAAAGTACAGTTGTCCCTATGTGGCCTGAGACGCAAATCAGGGTTGCTTTATCTTTATCTTTAGAATCTTTATCTGCCCCAATCGTGCAGGGCAACCTTGAAGTCCCAAGTCGCACACCCCCCCTGCTGAATTTTCTTTCCCTGCAGGGAGACGGAACCGTACAAAACACGGAATGGCACCGCTTTGCCATGTAGGGTTAAGGCAGATGTGGAACTGAAGGTGCTCCTTGGGAGCAGTCCAGAATTACAGGCAATAGTGAGGATCCATGGATCGCCTGCCCAAGACGAGGCGAGCCCCAAACAATTTGCATTTTACCAGGGAAAAGTGTCGCTGGCAAAATGCATCCCTTCCTCCTGAGCTGCTGAGATGAGAGGGGTCGGGGGAGTTTGATGAGGAGGCTGGCGGAGGAAGCCGGTGGGGCTGGCGATGCGTCCCTGGGAGCCTGGGGTCTTCTCCCCTGCAGGCGTGGGGGCGCTGGGGCCCCCTGCCTCAGTGAGGCCGCTCGCCCACTGCGGGGCTGCTGCTGGGCTTGCTGGGAGCGATCCACCGGCGCTGCTCCACTGGGGAGGACGGTGGGAAGCACCACGGACAGCTCAGGGAACGCGCACAACCCCAACAGAGGCAGAATCCCCCTGGCAAAGGGGGAGAATGAGGGGGAAAGGCGCCTTCACTCCCGACGACAACTGTGCTCCAGGCCTGGCCGCAGGATGCAACCGCTAGCAGGGAAGGATCCCCTCACCGGGCCCCCAGGAGCGGTTGGGGCCAGCGCCGGGTCTTCGAGGGCCCTTCGGAGAGAGGGGGGCCAGGGCGAGACGCCGCTGGAGGGGCCTGGAGCAAGGGGAAGGCTCGCCTCCTCCCGTGTGTCCCTCCCTACCCAGACCCTGGGGTCGTCTCTGGGGGCTTCTCTGGGAGCCCCCCTGCCCCAGCGGAAGCCAGGTGGGGGGCTGCCAGAAGGGTCCCGGCTGTGGAATGAACCCCCCAAAAGGCACCTGGTTCTATTCCTTGCAGCACCAGCTGAAAACCTGCCTCTAGTCTCAGCATTTCAAACTTTAGTTTTAGCGAGGTGCTGAGTTCTCTGCTGCCGCGATGCTTCTCTTGCCATTTCGGTGGTTCGGTTGTTTAATGTTTGCTGTTTGTGCGTCTTTGGCTTTATGTGAGCTACCCAGGTAGCTTCGGCTATTGGGCGGTATAAACATGAAAGAAAGAAATTCGGGGCAGGGGCGAGCTTCTCCAAGGGGTCTTGCCAGTGGGGTTCAAGTCGCTGCCAATTCACCCCCACCAGCAATCCCCGCAGGGGTCGCAGCAAAGGTCAGAGCGGACAGGCAGTCTGAGCCGTGGGGCAGGTCCGGCGAACCGCCCCGAACCGGCAAGCGCATCCTGGCGAGCGCCAGTACCAGTGAGGCCTGTGGGGGACGTGGGCCGACCCACACGGGGTTTTCGATGTGCCGCCGTCTTCCACGCTTGTTCTCCCCCCCCTGCCCTGCCCTGCCCTGCCCTGCCCGGCAGGACCTGGAACACGGCAAGCAGGGAGGGCTGGCTGAACCCCTCCCCTTGCACCGAGGCCCTGTGCCCCCCGCCCCCGAATTTGCATCAGGGAACCTGCTGATGGCTGGAGCGCGGAGTGACGGCTCTGCCTGTCGGGTTTGCGAGTGGCGTGGAAGGGATGAGCTCCCGTCTCCACTGGCTTCTGTCTGTCCCTGCAGTCAGCGCGGTAACAGTGCCGTGGCCCCCCCCCGTCTGCTGCGGGGGATGCTGGACCCCCCCCCACCCCTGCTGCCCGCGGCCACTGTGTGGAAGGCTTCTCCCGCCTTGGCCTGCGGAAAGGCTGCGGCACCGAACTTCCAGCCCGTCTCAGCCGCTCAAAGGGCGCCCTGGGAGGAGCCGCTTCCTTATCGCCGCCGTCCGCGCTCCGTCCCCAGCCAGGCCCTGGGAGAAAGGGTCACCGAGCGCTGGCCGGGCGTCCGGAAAGGGCGGGGACGGCCCTGGCAGCACTGGCACCGCTCGCCGGGCCGCATCCAGGCGTCTTCGGGCACGGGAGGCATGGCCGGGCGTTGCGGGAGCTGGAAGTACATTCTGGGGGGCGTGCTGGGCGCAGCTGCGGTGCTGACTGCGGGGCTCCTGCTGGGGCACTATGCCATCCCCAAGGCGCCGGGCCCCGCTGAGTGGGTCCACAGCCTCTCCAGAGACCTGGACCCAGCTCTGCTGGAAGACTTCATGGCCCAGGTGGAGGCCAGCCGCATCCGGGAGAACCTCAAGTAAGGGGCGAGCGGAAGAGGGGCGGCTCATAGTCGGTGAGAGCAGGGCCGGGGGAGCTGGTGGCCTGCGGCTACTTCTGCTGCTGGGGATGATGGGAGTGGCCCCTGGGAGGGAGGCATCTCCTGCCCTGCCTGTGAGAAATGCTGCCGCTGGAGCACTGGACCTCCCCGAGCCTGGCGGCAAGCTCTGCTTTTGAAATCCGCATGATTGTTGCAGAATGGGCACTTCGGCAAGCCATGGCTTTCACTGGGCGTCTGCCCCCAGCCCCCCAGCGGAAGCGGCTGCCACAGGGACACCTCTGACCCCAAAGGAAAGAATTAGGAACAGGATCGTCTTTATGCCTTCCGTTTGTGAGCTGCTGGGGGCAGGTGAAGGCTTATTATTCTGCAGGAGTTGTTAGATTAAAAGTCCCATCTTCCCTGACTGATGCCATGCTGACTGGAACTGATGGGAGTTGGAGTCTAACAATATTTGGTGAGTTGGAGGCTTTCCACCCCTGTGCTGCAGAGGGACGCCTGACCAGCCCCTGGTCAGCAATGTTCTCCCGGTCCCGGGTGCAGGTCGCGCCTGGAGGTCCAGAAGCCGAACGGTGGCACAGAAGTGATGTTCCAGAGGGCACAGCTGGAGCTGGTGGGTGGAAATGCCCGGGGAGCCGATTTCGGCTGAGTGTTAGGAGCAGGATCCTAACCGTGCAGCCCTAGACGAGTCTGGCTGGCAGGAAGCTCTTCAACTCCCGACATAGCTGCTTTGTGCTACACCTTTCCTCCATCTACGCTTGTGTAGATTTGTGAGTGTGACAGGCGTCCTCAAGGGGCGAGCGCGGCCCCTGCCCTGCCGCGAAAGCCATTTGCCGAGAGGGTGGTGACTGCTTGCTCAACTCACCTTGAGCAGAAGCGTAGATAAGGTGATCTCCCAGGTCCAAGTCCAGGATTCTAGTCTGGCCCAGCAGGAGAGTTCCTTTGCCCAGGTGTCACAGCTCCTGGACCCCCAGCTGGGTTGGCCCACAACTCCCATCATCCCTCATTGCTAGGTGGAACTGGATGGGAAGTAAGACCCAGTTGGTGGTTCGAACTCAGGTGGCCTGGGTTCAAGTCCTGCTCAGCCATGGAGCCAACTGGGTGACTTCGGGCCAGTCGGAGACTCTCAGTCCAGCCTACCTCACAGGACTGTTGTTGTGAGGATAAGACTGAGAGCCACCGGAGGAGAATGCTATAAGGCACTTTGAGATTGTTGTGAGAAGTAAAGGTGGGATATAAACCTAGGAAATAAATCAGGCGCCTTCAGGATGCTTGGTGCCCGTGCGGTGACTGTACTGTGCAAAGGAATAAAACGAATCGCTTGCAGGTCGGTTAAAGACGGGGGGTGGGGGCACCGTGCACCCGAACGGCATTTGCGCGCTCGCATCCAAACCTGTCGCCTCCCCCCCTGTAGGACCCTCTCCTCGAAGCCCCACATGGCCACCACGAAGGGGGATGAAGAGCTGGTGCAGCTACTGCTGAGCCGCTGGCGGGACCCCGGCTTTGGCCTGGACCAGGCCACGGAGGCCCGGTATGACGTCTTCCTCTCCTTCCCTGACCCGGAGAAGCCGAACAGTGTGGCGGTGGGTGAGTACCGGGACAGGGCCTTTGTGCGCGCGAGGGGCGCGTACCGGGCATCGCTTCAAGGCGGAGGAGCGCTTTCGGGCCGCCCCTCGGCTTTGAAGTGATCAGCTTATTCGAAACCAAGAATGAGAACGGAGCCGGGCGGATGTACCCAGCATGCAGGCCTTGGGGCTATTTACACAGAGACCCAAGGCTTTGCCCTTCCCTTTTATGATTATTTTATTGTTTCCTTAAAAGAAATAGAATCAGAAAAGAGCAGAAAAGGTGAAAGAGAACGAAAAATCCCAAGGGATCTGCAAGTGCAGCATGCAATTTTGGAGGCTTGCACATGCTCCAAGCAGCAAAAGTCAATCAAAACTTCACTGAAGCTCATAAGCATTAATTATAGATCTCGAAACTGATAAATTTCCCTATCACACTGAGTCAGTTTTAAGTGATTGTACAAAATCAACATTCGTATAAATCATCCACAGTGTTTTCACGAGCTCCGTTTTGTCCTGTATTAATTAAACGGCATAGAATAGCATTTCCATTTATCATGACTTTCTTCAGTAGGTTTGCCCTTCTTATATGCATCCTGCTTCCCAGGATTTGCCAGGCACCTGCCTTTGAATGTGTGTCAGGAAAGCTCAGAAGCCTTTCAGGTCTCCTCTCCTGAAAACCAGACTTGAATTACTTCTCCAAGAGTGTTTGTTCCGTATGAGCTTTATTTTCAGCTTCCAGTCCATTTCCAGGCCCAAGTCAAGGTGCTGGAATTTTCCTGGGCTTTTCAATTCTTTAAATTTGTTTTGCTTTTACGTTATATATTTATGTATAGTCTTTCCTTTTAATTTACGTTTGTAAAAACATTTACATTTTCTTTAAAATTAGTTACTGTGTATCCAGCTCTCTGCATTGCACTAGCCTTTACTCTGCTTTTCCTTTCTGCAGCATGCTTTTATTCTGTTTTAAGCATATTGTATATGCTTTTATATTTCCTCATTTTACATATTTTATTTTGTGGACTTGATTCCCAAATTAATCTGCCACGCTGCACTGCAGGGCTGGGGCACCCCGGCCCCGGGGACAAGCCGGGATGCATCTCAGGTTATCTGGCAAGTGGTGGGTTTGGGCTGGCGGGGGCAAAGGATGCTGGCCCACGGGTCACACTGGGAAAAGGGGCGAGGGGAGGAAGGCACGGAACGCCAGCCTCACAGTGCTGACGCCGTCGCCTCGTCTCTCCCGGCAGTGTTGCCAAACGGCACCCGGGCCTTTGTTTCCAGGGAATCGGAGGAACCGCTCAGGCCAGACCAGGCCGACAAGGACGTGGTGAAGCCCTACGCAGCTTACGCACCCCCAGGAAACCCGAAGGTACCGAACGAGCGAGCGAGCAAGCAAGGGGCCCGGCTGGGGCAGGACAGCCTCCCTGCGCTCTCCTTATCTTACCTCCGCGTGGACTTTGCCCCTTGTGGGCCATGCCGAGATCTCGCAGATACCAGCCCAGGGACACGGGCGGTGGGGTGGCGCATGGGCTGCCCTCTTGGGGTTGTTGTCCTGCCAAGGGTGTGTGTGTGTGTGTGCGTGAGAGAGAGAGAGAGAGAGAGAGAGAGAGAGAGAGAGACTCTCTCAAGTTCTCCCTTGAATCGGGACACGCTGCTCGAGCGCAGGGGCCTGAACGGCGACGGGACAGAGCGGTTTGGCTGGCGGACTGGGCAGACTGGGGTTCGCCCCCTGCCCCAGCCACGAAGCTTGATCATGAAGCTCGCTGGGCCAGTCACTCCCCCTCAGCTTAGCCCACCTCGCAGGGCTGTTGTGAGGATAAGAAGCAGAGGAGGAGACCGTGGCAGCTGCCCTGGACTCCTTGCGAGAGGGAGGAAGCGGGCAGGACGCAACCCCAAGGAACGCACAGCTGCGGAGTTCTGGGGGGCAGGAAGCCCGGCCGCCTCTGGAGCAGCGCCCCCCCCCCCCCCCCGCTCCCTGTGGTGGCTCTGTCCGGCCCTGTCTGGCCCGGGTGCTCCTCCTCCTTCCTCATGCCAATTCTCTCCTCTTCCATCCCTCCAGGGGAGGCTGGTTTATGCGAACCAGGGCAAAATGAGCGATTACCAGGAGCTGCTGAAACAGAACATCACCCTTAACGGCACCATTGCCATAACCCGCTACGGAGGGGCTGGCCGAGCAGCCAAGGTGCGCCTCTCCTACTTCCAGGCTTCTCTGGCACCGTTTGGTTCTGTGGGACACAACCATACCTTGAATTATAAAAGTTTTTGACACGTTTCAAAGCAACAACTTTGAGCATTGCCAGGTCAGGAAAGCCAGAGGTGTGGGTCAACAAATTCAACCCTAAATGAGGTTCCTTTGTTCCTGACGCCTCTTGCCTCAACCACTTGTTCACCCGGCAGTTTCCTGGCTTTGGTTTTCTCCCCTTTCTCGGAGTTTCTCCTAAACTTTTATTACTGCAAGGAAGAGCTTGTAGCTGTAAGAGGTGACACTTCCCCATTTTTCACCCTTTGCCAAGACTCTGGGAGGTGGAAAAATGCCGGCCGCCCCTTTGGTGGGAGCACAGAGCTGTCAAGATAGTTAGCCGTCAAGACTCAGGCGTCCTTTCAAAGCACGTGCTTTCGACAGGGCTACCCGGGGCTCATATATGTGTGTTCTCCAAAACAACATGAAACAAAACTCCCCTGATTTCCTCTGCCAACAACAAAACCAAAAAACAGCCATTTAAAAGGGAGCTTGAAATTCAGCAGTTATCTGTCAAACCTTTGTGCTCCCGTCGGTGGTGCAAGATGGCATTTTTAGGGTCTGCGGTACGGATGGAAATCATATCACTCTGGAAAGCTCCCACAGAGCGACAGTCAGAGGCTGGGAAAAGAGGCTTTGGGTGTTGCTTTGCTAGAAACCTGACCAAAGCACGAGGCCAAGCAGCCGGCGGCGGCGTCTGTGCGTGTTGGTGCCGTCGGGCACTCTTGTCCGCTTGCCAAGGGCGGCACGCTCAGCGGAGGCGGGGATAGGACATCGCTGCACGTTGGGCCCACTGAACACGCAGGCTTCGTGCTGGTTATGGAATTACGAACCCCAAGACGGCGCTAGAGGGGAAGGACATGCAGCGTGACCAGGTCTGACGCGCGCGCGCACCTTATCCTCGCAGGCGATCAATGGGGCCCACTTTGGCGTGATTGGCGTGGTGGTGTACACCGATCCCATGGACATCAATGACGGAAAAGCCTCGCCGGAGGACACCTACCCCCACTCATGGTACATGCCCCCCTCCGGGGTCGAGAGGGGCTCCTACAACTCTCATTTTGGAGACCTGTTGACGCCTTATTATCCGGCCAAAGGTGAGACGCGGGCTCGTGCGTCCCTCCCTCTCCCGTTCACGGGCAGGCGCTCGGGGCAGCTTTGCCATCCCTCCAGGCGGTTCCCCTCCCACGCTCTTGCCCATTAGGGCCAGCGGCCTGCCTAGCCGGGGGCTTCCCCGGCCCCCTTCGGTCCGTGCGGAGGGTGCCGCTCCGGCTGAACCCCTCGGGGCGCCTCGGGGCAGAGGGTCCACAACACGGCCCATCCAGAGGGGCCGCACAGCTCCAGTCCAGTGCCGACGGTGGGCCTCGCAGGGCCCCCTCACAGCCCCGCTCCAGCAGGGCCCGCCGGCAGGACTCCCCCGGAACGGCTCCCCTTCTTCACCCTCGGGCTGCACGGCGCTGGCGGCAGGAAGGAGGGGCTGGTGGCGCGCCAGGGCTCCCCGCTGGCTCCCCAGCTCTGCCGCCCCGCGGATCGGGGCGCGGACAAAGGAGCTGGTGGCAAAGGTGGCGAGAGGGCCGACCTGCTGAGGGAGGGGGCCGTCTGAGGAAGGCTCGGCCAAGGGCCCCCCGAATCTGGCCCCCACACGGTTTGACTGGCTCTCCTTTATGGCTTTTCTGCGGTGAGAAGGAAGCGGAAGAAGGGTGGAACTCACGGGAGGGTGGCAAGTGGGGACCCCCCCATAAAATCCTGAGTGGGGCAAAGCGAGGAAAGTCTCCGAGGGAACGGCCTGGATCTTTGGCTCAGGGGCTGCCGCACGGTGGGACCCGCGCGCTCTCCCAGCGAAGCCCCTTCCGCCTTCCCTGCAGCCCTCCTCTCTCTCCTTGCAGATTTCACCTACAGGATCCCGGAGGGCGACATTCCCGGGATTCCTCCAATCCCCACCCAGCCCATTGGCTTTGAAGATGCCAGGACACTGATCTGGTGCGAACCCCCCCACCCCCATGCCTAAAATGCGTGTTTCTCTGGCAATAATGTGAAAGGAGAGCAGATGCGTCAGCGGGAAGCAGAAGGGCTTCCTCGCTTAGATGGAAATTACTCTTTTGCCCAGAGAGTAAAATAAAATTCCATACAGACCTGAACAAAAAGACAGGCGTTTCCAAAGCAGAAAATTTAGATTTCCAAGTTAAATTCGAGGGCCAGGCAGAGAGAAAGAAACGGAGAGGATGAAACCAGAAATTCCCAATCTTGTTGCCCAATCTGTGAAGTTCTAATCTAGTTTTGGGACTCTGCGTTTCTTTTTTAAAAGCCCTCCAAGTTGAAGTATTAAATCATACACATGCATGCAGAGAACAACCCAGGGAAAAACAGATGTTTAAATCAATATATTGCATTTCAATGATGTAAGTAATATATGCATTCTAAAATCAATATGACATTTAATGTAAGGGCAGCGGATTCATGGCTCCAGACTTGGAGTTCAGAGTGTAGCCACCACGAGTTCCTCGAAAGGAAGAGCGGTGAGATATAAATATAAATAAATAAATGGCTAACTCTGCCCTTGGTCTTGTGTTCGCAGTAACCTGGCTGGCCCGAAGGCAGCGGATTCTTGGCAGGGAGCCTTGGGATGCCCCTACCATCTTGGACCAGGCTTCCGGCAAAACGGCTCGTTCCCGGCACAAAGGTTGACTCGCCCGGCCTTCCTTGCCCACGTCTCCAGTGGGGTCCCAAGTTTATTCGGGGTGGGGGTCACGTTGGCCCTGCGGGGCCCCTTGTCCCTTCGTGTGGGTGGCTTCCCTGCGCCTGCTCCCTTTCTCCCCCCCCTTCCTCAATCGCTGGGGCGTCTCTGCTTCATTAGGGGCCGTGGTGGAGGCATTTGGGGCCTTTTGGCTCTCTTCCTCCTGCCTTGGGCCCCTGGAATTCGCCCCCGAGATCTGCCCTGAATCCGAATCGGGCCCGTGGGTGGAAGGCCGCTCCTCGCCCGGGCCGCACTGAACCGGGCACCCTTTGCCTTCCAGCGACGTCCAGGTGAGCGTCCATAACCAGAGGCGGATCAACGCCTCCTCCAACGTGATGGGGCTGATTCGCGGGAGCGTTGAGCCCGGTGAGTTGTCTCCTTGGCTCCTCCGCCTGACGGAGTCCTTGTTCTGGGCCGGATCCACGCCAGGCTTCCACCGGTGCCTCTAGAAGCCGCTAGGAAGGGTGGGTTGTGTGGATCCTTCCCCTTGGCTTTCCTGCGCTGCAAACACGGAGCAAGACAGCAAGCGTCCCCAGCGTGGCCTGAGTGGCCGCGGAACAGTGGGGACTCCTCTCTTCAGGGAGAAGCTGGGAATCCCTCCTTCCCTTCCCAAGAGCCGCTCACACGCGCAGCCCCGTCGTCATCCAGCTCCTGCCTTCCTCTCCGCAGACCGGTACGTCCTGTACGGCAACCATCGGGACAGCTGGGTGCACGGCGCCATCGACCCCAGCAGTGGGACGGCGGTGATGCTGGAGGTCACGCGGGTGCTGGGGAAGATGGTGAAGGAAGGTGCATGGGGAAATGGGCCGGAGCCCTGCTGTACTGGGGGGCGGATTGTGGCAACCCGGGGGGGCCGACCAGGCACGGGCGGCGTCGAGGGTACAATCCAAGCGGCTGGATTTCTCCTCCAGAGAAGCTGGATTCACCCACGCTGGCTCGGCAGTTGTGGAGAAATGAGCCGAGAGTCCCGGCGCCCCAAAACCTGTGCCTTTTCCTGCTTACAGCAACTACCCTGTCCTTCAGCCAAACAGGAAGCGTGGGCTAGTGGTCACAGGGCTGGAGTGGGACTCAGGAAAGCCAGGTTCTAAATCCCACTTGGCCATGATGCCCGCTGGGTGGCTTTGTGCCAGTTACTGACTCTTAGCCGGGCCTCCTCCCTCCTCTCACGGAGGCCAAGCCCTTGAAGGCCGCTAGTCCTCATGGCTCTCTGCTCCCTCCAGGACCAGAGGCAGTGTATCTGTATTCCAGTTGCTGGGGAACACGGGCAGGAGGGTGGCATCGTGTCCTGCCCTGCTTATGTGTTTCCCCCAGGCAGTGGGTGGGCCACCAGGATCCTGGACCAGGCAGACCCTTGGGCTGATGGGAGGAAAAGCAAAAACCTTCTGCTCCAGTTCATCCTTTCCACCGTCTCATGGGCGTTTTTCTCATAGCAGGAATGGGTGGAAGACAGCATTACTACCCACCTTTCTTCTCCCACAGAATTCAAGTCCACGCCCATGGGGGTGGGGAGGTGGTCTGCCATCCAGCCAATGCACAGACCCCTCCCTTCCGCAAGGGGGCCCTAGTTTGTTTAGTTGGGGGCGTGCGTAACTATCTAGAACCGTTTCTGCTGTCTGACCCACTTTTTTGCCTTCAGGGAAGTGGCGCCCCCGGCGGTCCATCATTTTCGGCAGCTGGGGCGCGGAAGAATTTGGTCTCATTGGCTCAACCGAGTACACAGAGGTAAGAGACCCAGGCGCGTGTGCGTGTATCTCTGGGCACGTACAAAAAGAAGAGGGCTCCCTCCAGAGCTCAGGGATCTCACCAACGTCCTTCCAAAAAGGGCTTTTGAGAATTCATTCTCCCCCGCTCTCTCCAACACAGGAATTTTACAGCAAACTCCAAGAGCGCAGCGTAGCCTATATCAATGTGGACATCGCGGTGTTTGGTAAGCTCCCCTCTTGATTTACTTCTGTTATGACTGTTGTTACAAAAAATGAAATGGGGTTTGACAGCTATAGGACGGAGTGAAGCAATGGCGTGGATGTTTCTCAGGCTTGGGTCAAAGGATCGTCCTTTTTTTAATTCTTTTCCCTTGTTGGCATCTGCACAAAGCGTGCACAGGGCGAACAAGGCTGCTAGTCCTCAAGGCTTCTGTTGCTGCTATTTAAAACGACATGGCTCCTTTTCCCGGCAGAATTCATGCACTTTTATCAGTCGCCTAACGGGCAGGCATTCTTCCCATAACCGTCTGCAGAGCTGGCCGGGGGAAGCTGCTCCATTCGGACTGTGACAAGAGCGGCGACTCTCAGCGGTGCTCCCCTGGGTCTGGAGACTTTCTCCTGACCTCCTCTTTTTCCTTTCACAGCCAACGCCACTTTGAGGGTTCAGGCGACTCCACCGGCTCAAAGTGTTATCTTTGCAGCAACTCAGCAGGTAACACTCCGGAGTGTGGAACCTACTAGAATCACGATATATGAGCAGAGCGGATGCTGAAATAAACATTCTGGCAAAAAGATCACAAGGCATCACCCACCGGTGTCCCACCTGGCCGCTTCATGCAGGTTCCAGTGTTTTGCAGGAATCTGTGGGCAGCACCTTCCCCTTCCTTCCTGAACAGCCACCTGCTTTGCCGCTCCAGGTCAAGACACCAGCAGATCAGTCCGTGACCGTGTATGAAAACTGGAAGCGCCACTTCAACCGAAGCAGCCCTGCCTATGGAGTCATCCCCAGGTAGGCCCTTCCTCCCCCCCCCGCCTCGCTTCTAGGCCCTCCGGGTTTTACGCCTCGTACAGTGGTCGCGAAGGAAGTCAGAGGGGATAAAGAGCTGCAGATGCAGCCAGGAGAAAGGAGGCGCCTGCACGGAGCCCGCCATGGGGAGCAAAGGAGGGGACGTATCCCGGGGCGGCCGCCCCCGCTCCCTCGCCCTGCGCCATCCCCTGAGCCACTGGGGAAGCCTGACCTTTGCCCTTCTGCCCCCGGCTCTGCATTCCCCCTCTGCCCAGCCTCGGGTCTCTGGGTGCCGGAAGCGACTTTGCCGCATTCATTCATTACCTGGGCATCACCTCCATGGACATCGCTTACACCTACGATCGGGTGAGTCGAGAGCAGAACCTCCGAGCCAAACCGGCCCCGGCCCCCGCGTGCCAGCCACCCCGAGCGGTTCCCCAGCTTTGTGCGCGTCCCCTGTTGCAAAGGCCAGGGTGCCCCTCCTAGAGCAGCGAGCGTGAGTGGCAGGGTGCCGCATCGGAGCTGCGCGCCTTTGCTCTTTGATCCGTCCGCCACGGACATGCGCCCTTGACTGTTCCTCCAAACGGAATTTGCCTCTCGGCTGAAGGTAGCACCACTCCTGCCGGTGGGCCTCCATCAGTCCCGAGATCTTCTGAGGTGGCCCGTGTGGAAAGGCCGATGGCGCAGAGTGGGTCGCCAGAAAAGGGCGCGCAGGCGGGCCTCCTGGGGTGCCACCCGCCTCCCGGACCGCTCTTGTGCAGGGGTGTCCGGGGGAGCCTTCAGTGCCTCTTGCAGATATACCCCTCCGCAGATCCTTTCCTGAGGATTTGTACACAGCTCGATTTGATCGTCACGGCCCCCCGGCTGCGGGAAGGGGCGTGCAGTGCAGCTCCACAGCGTCGAGGGGGCCGGGAATCCGCAGAATGCCAGTCGCTCGATGCCAGGCGGGGAGACGGGCGCCCCAGGCTCTGTGGGATGGCCCGGCGCTGGCAACACGGCCGTGCTTTGCTTTGTCCCTTCGCCCAGAGCAAGACCTCCGCACGCATCTACCCCGCCTACCACACGGCCTTTGACACCTTCGACTATGCCGAGAACTTCATCGATCCAGGTGAGGTATGAGAGTGAGAAGCGGGAGGCACCCAGAGCACGGAGCGGAGCTCACCACTGCTCGGGTGCTCTGGTGGTTTTATCTTCCTTCTCATGCTGGTTTAGTCGTTAGACTAATTGGGACTTGGGAAATCTGAGTTCCCGTCCCGACTTGGAAGTGGAGGCCAGGCCGTCTTGGGCGGCCCTTCTGAGGGCGGGGGGCTCCCAAAGAAAGCGCGCTCCCCCAGGCTCTCCCCCGTCAAGGGGGGCGCCCGGCTGCACTGCGACCCGCTGCTTCCTCGCAGGCTTCACCAGCCACCAGACCGTGGCACGGACAGCAGGTAACGTCCTGCTGCGCCTGGCGGACGCCTTGGTCTTGCCGCTCAACCCCAGCGACTACGGGGAGACGCTCCAGCAGATGTGCAGCGCAGCGGAGCAGGCTTTCCAGGCAGAGCTGGCCAGCCAGAACATCTCGCTGGGTGAGACCGCCGGCCGGGGTGGTGGGGCGCTGCCCTCCCGGGCACCTAGCGCCCCCGGTTTGCCAGCAGCTTGCCAACCGACCCAGGAACGTGCCTGGGTGGCTCTTTGTGATGTCTGAACCCGCACTCTGACCCTCTTGAGCATTAAGCAGCCCAGAGGTTTGTTGTTGGGTGGAAACACGGGACGTTCTGGGTTGCTGGCTTGCTTTGCAGGGCTGGGCGAGGAAGGCAGAAGAGGTGAGCTGGGGGGCGGCAGCTCCACGCGCCCCTCCCAAATCCCCCTTAGGGGTAATTCAGGCAGGTCGGTGCATCCGTGACCCAGAGGTCCTGGGTTCCTGAACTGGCTTCCTCGTCATTCCCAGTTGTTAATGGCCTGTGTCCACATTGTAAAGGATTTCATTCTTGTTATTAATATCAACAATACGGATTTCTGGACTCTCAGGAGTGCACAGGTGTGTGCCTGGAGAAGCCCAGCTTATTTTTAAAGGACGGAGATATTTGCAGAAGCTTCTGGGGTAAAATATAGTGATGAGCCAGAGAGAGCCATTCGCACGTGGCACTTCGGCGCCCCCTTGGAGGTCACAGGAACCCGCAGAGATTTCTGGGGGAAACGGTGCCGAGGGAGCCCTGGTGAGAGCGGGGGAGGCGTCCAGGGGGCTTCGCTGCCTTGTGGCCCCCGGGAGACCAGGCGGAGGGCCAAGGGGAAGCCGTGGGGATGCCCCATGTGCTGCCAGTGGGGCTCGCAGGGTGAGCCCGCTCTGCGGCCCAGCAAAAGGGCACCCGCAGCCGCTAAACCGTTCCTTTGCTTCCACTTCTCCCAGTCCCGCTTAAGAATGCAGTTGACCGCTTCCAGGCCGCGGCTGCCGGTCTTAACCAGCGCGTAGAAAACCTGCGGAAAGAGGAGTCTCCCAGGTGAGCGTCCGACACCCTCACAATACTCTGTCTGTGCGTAGAGATGTTTATTCTGCGGGAAGCTGGGGGTCCCGAGTGCAGCTGAGCCAGAACCTTCCCTCGAAGCAGAAATGCCAACACTGGGCCGGCGCCTCATGAGAAGGCAGAGCTCTGTGCACGAGGGCAGTCGTGCCGGGGAGCCCGAGGCAGGAGGAGACGCGAGAGGCGGGGGGGGGGGGCTCCGCCAGCGGGGCTGCAGCCTTGCCGAGCAGGGCTCCCCGCGGCTGGCCGTCTTGGAGGGCCTCCCTTTGCAGGTGGCCGTAAGTGAGAGGCAACATCGTGACACGTAATATTTATGCAGTATTTGCAAGTGTTGAAGTCACTTGACGTTCTTAATCTGAGCGATGCTCATTAACCGCCCTGTGCGGTAGGCCTGGCATTGTTATGCACAGGGTACCAGTTCAGGAAGGGAAAACTCATGGCTGGAAGATAGCAGGAGATTGTCTGCTGGAGATGCCCCCCGCACGATGCCCAGTCGCTTCCAGGTAGCCTGAAGTGCCTGATCCTGCCTGATTTTGGCCGCTAAGCGAGGTCAGGCCTGGCTGAGACCTGGATGGGGGATGTAAAATGTGCTGTGCCCAGAGAGCTTTGGTAGGTTTGCTTTGTCACGGTTCCAGGTCAAAATGCCTCTCACTGCCAGTAAGAGCTGCAAACTAGGTTATGCAGGTCATATTCTAGGTTGTCTTTGACCCGTTAGCACCGCTGGAGTGAGGCCCCCGAGAGCTTCCCAAGGGGATGGAACCCCGTGGCCAAAAGAGGTTCCGCATCCGTGTTTTGAGCCAGACTGTTTCTCTCTCCCTTTTCCCTGCGTCTCTGCAGCCCCCTCCAGGTGCGGGCGGTGAATGACCAGCTCATGCTGCTGGAAAGGGCATTCCTGAACCCCCGGGCCTTCCCTGATAAGTATTACTACAGGTGAGGAGTGGCCGGGAGTCCCCTTCTTGGTGTAGCGGTCTGAGCCGCGTGGCAGAGCGGTGGGAGGCGGGACGGGGCGCCCGGGAGATCCAGTCCTGGTCCCCGCTCAGCGGGGCGGCTCCTTCGGTGACTTCAGGCCGGGCGCTCGCTCTCAGCCTGGCCTACCTGGCAGGTTGCATGCAAGAGAAAAAGGCCGAGCGCGGCATGAAACCGTGATAATAATTCTGCACCAGAAATAGATTAGAATGACCAAACAAGATGTTTACATGCCACGAAATGCAGGGCAAATATAGCTGAAAACAGCACCCAACCCCCCCCCCCGCCCACTTATAGGCTTGAAGGTGCTATTCTTAAAGAAAATGGTCTTTGCTGTCTTTTTATATGAGGGGTCTTCAAAAAGTTTCTGCAATTTTTAAGATGTTATTTATTAAGAATTTCACAATCAAATTGCAACCCTTGTCGCTTTCCTTTGCGATGCCTTTTTCCCAGCGTCGCACCAACATTTTAATGCCATCAGCAAAAGTATATAAAATCTATATACCGAAGTGCAGAAGCGTCCGGAGGACCCCTCGTCTGTGCCTCGTGGGCACCACACCCCGGTCCCCGGTGCCCCCTTTCACTCCGCCGTCTCGCCCCCCTGCAGCCACACCCTCCTGGCCCCCAAGTCGTCCGCCGTCGCCACGTTCCCGGGCCTGGCCGACGCCGTCGAGGGCGCCAGGCAGCTGGGCCAGTGGGGCCGCGTCTGGGAGCACCTGACGATCGCTGTCCAGGCGATCGAGAACGCAGCTTCTACCCTTGAACCCGTGGCCGAATAAGGACGAGGCCATTGCAGTGCCAAGCACCGTTCCATTGAAAGCAGGTCTGGAATCTCCTAAGTAAATACCCGGCATTTATCTAAGCCTCGAAGAGTGTTCAATGCAGTGATCTTTGCAAGCGTGCAAACCAGCCCTGTAAGGTAGGCCTGGGTGTTCTCCCCAGTGTTTGTGGAGACTGTGCTGGAAGAAAAGCAGTTTTGTTTTTCACAGCTCTGTTTTAGCTTGGACAGAAGTACTGGGGTCATGCAGAGAGAATCAGCTTTGGGGGCGAAGTCCAGCCCTGTGGGGCAACCTAGAATTAAAACCGTGTGCTCTCTAGGGCTGCGGCTGACAGAGTACCAGCCCCTGACCAGAACAAGCCCAGCAACTCTCGGGACCTTATTCGGCAAATCAGAAAGTCTCCAGCATTTCTCACGTATTATACGGTGAATCGAGCCACTCCCCTGGACAACTGAGCTTGACTTGGAGCACCCGCCATGTTTACTAGCTCAGGACACCTCCATCAATGACTTGCATAAGGAATGGAAGAAAAACCCGTGAAAGGGACAAAAAGAGAAGATTAAAGGACGATTTCAGCTTCACCGTTTCCAGAAATTTTGCTCCTGTGCTCCTAAGAGCTTTGCTGCTATGCAGGTTTTGGAAATAGCTTCTTGTGGGAGCAAAGGCCAGGTGGCGATACAGAAACCCTTCGTCTTAGGAATTTCACTGGTCTAAGAGCATCTGTTCTTCCAGTTTGGGGGAAAACCGAAAGAGCTTGAGGGGGGAAAATGGAAGCAAGCAAACATTTCCTCCCACTTTTCCTTGATTTTTCCCACCAAACTTTCCCATGTTTGCTGTTCCCATTAGCAAATATTTCTTAGGGTCATCTGCGATCTGCCCTCCTATATTTTAAGCCCATCCAGTCTAGTCACACCCTTTGCAAAAACACGGCCTTTGCCCTCTCGGAGGTTCGCAGAGGCTCCTTTGTCTTCCCCAGGCCAAGCACACCCTGTCCCATCAGCCTTTGGTTCCTCTTCCCCAGGAGGCCGCAGCCTCTCCGGGACGGGGACTGGGAACAGGACGACTGAGCAGGGCTTCCCTTCTCTGCTGGTATCGCATTTCCGTGCCCCGTTCTCTGGCACATCCAGGTCTGTGAGCACCTGGATAGCGCTGCTTGGGGGAAGCCCGAAGGCTGCAGTCTGGCGCTGTGCGGGGGACCGATGTCCAGGTCAGTGCGTGCAGGATCGTGGCCACGTGCCGTTCCCGCGCAGCTTGAGGGGCCTGCTCGAGAGGTGCTGGGTGTTGTCGGGAGTGGTGGCGGCTACAAATGCCCACTGTGTTCAGGGGCAGGACATGTCTGAGAACCCGAGCAAGGACAATTTTTTAAAGAATAAACACCATCTGGTTAGAAGATGCGAGGGAAAGCAAGGAAGGAAGACACCAGCCGAAGCAGAGGGTGAAATGAGCACGGTTTAAGCTACTTTCGGTGTACAGCACAGCGGGAAGGTAAACAGATCCGAACCTCTTACGGATAAGAACTTGCTCGTGTGGCTGCGACTGGGCTTCTAGCGCCAGGCCGCGAGCAAATTTTCATGGCGAATACGTTGGCCACACATTCTTAAAAATGCCTTTAAGGAACGCAAGCGACACACACACACACACGTAGTACAAAGCTTCATGAAATCTGGGATTCTTGATCGAGGACTGGACTGGAGATGGTCACCGATGATACAACAGTTCAATTAATGCACATCTGGCTTCTGCAGGGGGGATGCAGCACCTGTCGGATCTCGCAGCAAGAATTTTCACAGGGGCCGCCTGAGCGAGGTGGGCTGACCCATCCCTGCTCGGGGCAGCTCTTGGCCACAGGATCCAACCTACACGCTTCCTTTATGAAGACCCGTGTGGTAAGAAAACGCAGCATCGAACTAGATTCCCCTTCAGGTTGTCCTTTAGAAATGGCCGTCATTCCGCCGAAGAGCAGGACTCGGGTGGTGAATTACCTCTGCGGCCACGGAGAAAGACGGACGAGCTCAGGGCAACCCCTGGGGTCTGCAGGCGGAGGAGCGATCCCAAGGAAGAGGGAGAAACAGAAGGGGGCCGCCCTCCAGCCAGGCAGCCCCGTGAGGCTCGGGCTTGCTGCAAAGCCGTTGAACGTTGAGGGACCGTCTGGAAGGAAAAGGGGCATGGGAAGGGCTGGCAGAAGGTCCCCCTCCAGCCGGAGAACGTGTGCAGCTTGGCTTGTCTCCCCAGTTCTGCAAACAGGAGAGAGAGAGAGAGAGAGAGAACCATCCGCAGAGCGACCACGTGGCGCATTTCAGCAGCGCAGGCTTTCGTCCTTTTGCAAGAGCCGAGCAGGGCCGCCCCGACCCGGCCGTGCTGGGGGCCGTCACCCCCGGCTGCCACGTGGGGCGCTCCGGAGGTTTTCCCCCACACGTGGCTCACAGGAATGTGGCCGAGGAAGAGGCGAGGGCCGCGGGACACAGGCCTGGTCTCTCCCTCCCCTGCTGCCACTCTTGGGGGGTGCAAGCGGCTCCTTCCCACGCCGCCCACGGAAATCCCGGCCATCGGTCCCACGCCCACGGCTCGTGCTCTGCGGTGCGCGTGGAGAGGTGGCCAGAGCCCTCGTCCCCCGGCCGCCCTCCTCGCTCCGCTCCAGCCAGAGCCTCCAGCCACGGCTCGGTCGTCTTCCTGCCGCCGTTCAATGTGTCTCCGAGGTCCAAGGGGCCGCCTGCCGCCCCTCGTCTGACAGCGGTCCGGGGAGGACCTGCAGGGGCGGAGAGCCACCCGGCGGGCAGCGCTGCCTGGAGAACGCAGCGCTGCCCGCTCGCCAAGCCGGAGGCCAGAGCTCTCTCTTGCCAAGCGAACGGGAAACTCATCTCAAGGCCCGTTGATAAACACTTTGTGCATCTTTCGGACAAAGCCCTCACTTGGCTGCTGCAGTCCTGCTCCGGCGAGTCCTCCCATCATCCGCACCGCTGCTGCTGCTCAGGACGGGGGGTGGGTG